CGTGGTTGTTACAGATCAACCACTTAAAATAATCTTGAGAAAGCCTGACGTGTTCGGTTGACTACTCAAATAGGCTATCAAGTTGAGTAAGTTCAAAGAGAATTACTAGTCGAGGGTAGCCATAAAAGCGCAAGTGATTGCAGACTTTGTGGCCAAGTCTACACTGCCACAAGATTCTCAAGAAAAAGTATCAAGCGCCCTTGTGCTCACCTGCCCAATACATAGCACCTCCACTCACCATGAGGCAAGCCCAGACACTATCTCTAGAAAGTTTGACATCTTGGAGACAGCCTCTCAGGCCTTTAGAGACCATAATCTAAGGCTGAAGGTGCCTAGCTCCATTATACCTACTTTTCCAGAGCCCTCAACGCCCTCGCTACCATACCTCAACTTGCTGCTTCACCATCGCTACCCATACACATATCTTTTGTCGTATATCACCCAACACCAAAAATTCGAATGTAGTGTGGGCTGCAAGGACCTCCAAATTTTTGCTCTCTCTTAGCACCTATAAAAAATGTGAGTGTAATGAATTGATGATGGTTTAGAGAGCCTAGATGTCTATATATAGGCTACGATAGAAACCCTAAGGAGAAATAAGGATCGGGCTTCCAATTGGCCTAGGATTCTTATGTTCAAACCCAGAACAAACATCCTATAGCCCACTAATAATAAGTTAGTCCACTAAAAACGTATTATTGATCTCCTAAGCCTTATTTCAAAATTATATTCAAACTCCTTATTATTATATGCTTAATAATATCCTTACGTTTAAGATTACAGATGTCTATCAATTAAATAAATTATTGACAATTATATTTAATTAACTTCTTTTATTCATTAAGACCTTATCACTCAACTTATTTTTCATGTCGGATAATTAAATCCACTTGCAAGGTTTGACATGGACAAAAATTTTGAGCTTCCTCAAGAGAACATCATCAATCCATTTAAATATTAGGATTTGGTTTCCTTTAATAATTAATTTCTACCTTATAAATAACATTGTCTCCCAATTCACCGAGCTTGTTGACTCAATATGAATCTCACTCTTTGATGAATTAAAGTGACAATCATTATATGTACGTAGTGATTAAATAGCTCGGGATTAAGCGCATAAGAATCATAATAATCATGAGGTATTCATTATCTTATTGAATCAATAAAATACAATAACCTTAACATGGGTCTATTCAATGCACAAAGTATACTAGCGCAATAATCCGATACATCAAACAGTCTCCTACAGTCATGATAGATTATTCCAGAATATTACAGTACAATCATATTAATGGTGTGTCCAATTCTATCTAGGATTGTAAACATATATTTATATTATACAAGAATATGATAATCGGTCTTCTGTGCATAAGTCGAACTCTACACACTAGATTATTTATAGTATAAATATAAGACGCACATGTATACTATAGATCAAATATAATACAAATATTTTGCCCACATAGATTTTCAATAAAATAGAAAGTACAAACTTGTATTACCTAATAAAATGATTTTCATTACAAAAAATAAGTTTTTAGTGTACAACTCTATCACATCGGACACTGTCAAAGGGTCCTGCCCCAACCCCTAAGAGGGGAAGTACCCTAGGTAATTCACCTAGGGCTCCAAGGTGCCCCCCAACAGAGCGTTCCCTTGCAGCACCAGGGCATCTCTCCTCAACGCCCAGATGCCCCAACTCCCCATCATCACGTGTTGGCTCTGTCCTTACGTGCTGGCTTAGATGGAGGGTGAAAACCAATAAGTGGACTACGAAAGACACTACAACGACCCTTCAGAGGGCATCTCTAACCAATGGGACAAAAAAATCATGGAGGTACACGTCTTCAACGTTATCAATGCACGAGTGTCGAGAACAATCGACTACCTTCTGAAGGGTACTGACCCTCCATTCATGATTGAAGTGGCCAATTATCCCCTCCCCTCAAAGTTCAGGGTGCCAATTGTGAAATCTTTTAATGACTCAAAAGATCTACTAGACCACCTTGACACTTATAAATCCCTCATGCAGTTGTATTAACTTACCAAACAAAATAATATGCAGAGTCTTTCCAACCATCCTCAAGTGATTTGCATGTTAGTGGTTCACTAAACTAAAACCAGCTTCCATTAATTCTTTTCCTGAACTAAGCAAATCATTTGTCTCCACTTTATAGGGGGATGCCGACATTAGAAGCCTGTTACTCATTTGCTCAACATCAAGCAAGGTCGGGACGAAATCTTAAGGAGCTATCTCACTCGTTTTAACAGGGAGACTCTCCAAATTGAATAGCTAAATGACAAAGTCACCATGGCTACCATTATCGTAGGCTTAAGTTCATCCAATTTTATGTTCTCGATCTTAAAGAAATTGCCAACGAGCATGTTGGAATTATTATCGAAAGCCCAGAAATATATGATCATTGAGGACATCACCAAGGCTAGCCGAGGTGTGTTTTCCTATCAAGGGGAGAAGAGGAAGGAGCTCTGTGAAGACAGAAGAGAAACAAAGAATAAGAGGAGGATAAAGATAGTGTCAGCTAAGGACAACATTGGCCCTACACCTCAAAGGGAGCAGCAGGCCTCACGTCGCTCAACGCTTCAGTTGAGCATATTTTGCTCCAAATTTAGGATGACCTTGTGGTACGTTAGCCAGGAAAGATGAAATCTGCCCCAAATTATAGAAACCCAAACAAATACTGTCACTTCTACCATGATCATGGCCATGACACTGACGTTTGCTTTGAACTAAAGAGACAGATTGATGACATCATACAATATGACCAGTTACGACAATACATGGCAGGTAGAGGCCAAGCCCCACCACCATGTCGCAAGCAGGATGAGAGAGAAAACACCAATAGTCCCTAGGAGAAATTTAGACGATTTTCGGAGGGTTAAGAGGAGGAGGTAACTCTAACTTAGCTAGGAAGGAACACACTAGAAAGGCTAGGCACATGGATGGACTGTGGCCGTTAGAAATTTTTTTTTTTGGTAACTTTCCTTTCCTTCAAACAATGGAATGAAATTGTTTTAAAATTTTCTTAGAAGTTTTTCATGCTAACCAAATGCATACATGAAAATATATTTTTGTTTACTTTCTTATCTTTTTCTTCACTTTCTATCTCTTTCAATTTCTATCATATTTTTCTTGCTAACAAAACGGATCCTTTGATGTCCTCGTAGCCACTAATAAAGGCGCTCATAGTGCCATTCTATAGATCATCCTCTATCTTACCCTCTATTTATTAGGAAGTGAGCCTCTACTTAGGTAGCCCTCTCATGTACTGACTGTAGATCTACCTTAAATCTGGAAGCCCTCTTACTTGCTGATTACAACTCTACCTCGGATTTGGAAGCCCTCTCATGAGCTGCCCCACAGCTCTACCTCAACTCAAGTGTTCCTCTCATGGGTTACCCATAACTCTTCCTTTATTCTTGTAAGGGTAGCCTCACTGTCAACCTCCAGCTTAGCGACTCTCTCACAAGTTGCCAAACACGCTTGGCCTCAAGAGGTACATCTCTCTCGTGAGCTGCCCTTAACTACTTCTCAATATCCTGCAACGTCTGTCTCCCCTTTATCAAAATCCTTGATATGTGCTCATGATAGGTAACCCTTGCAAAGAGACATGTAGTGGCTGTGGACACCTACAAACATGCAAAAAGAGGAAAAGGTTAGTGTCATCAGAGGGATACAATTTTATAGAACTACAGATGATTATCCTAACCAAGCCCACCAAGGCTAACTTTTCTAATCTCCAAGTGTGACACGAACCTCATCCTGAAGCATGGGCACAAAAGGAACACTGACACCTCATTCTGTACAAAAGAGTGAATGCCTACCTCCGGAGATGTCTCGACTAGATAGGTGGCTAGAAAAGGTGACTAAACAATTGGAACAGACAAAGGAGTCACGTATTGGAAACCCGTAGGAGCACCATCTATTCTCATCCTCTTAGGTGGCTGAGTCACTTGCGTAACCCTAGTGGAGTAGAGAACTTCCACCTTGGACCTATTTACTATGACAATAAAATAAAGGGAGTTAGCTTCAGAAGTTGAAAATATTGTCAAAAGGACTCGATAAAAGATGACATACCTCTCCCCTTTGAGGAAGAGCTGTAGGCATAGGAAGAAGGTAAATCACCTTCAGATAGAGAGCCCCCAACTTGACCTTCTCTAGGCATAAGGCTCCCATAGTCCTTTACAGGATGATCCCTTGTGGCCTAAAGCCTTCCTTCTTGGTTTGCTATCAACTCTGGCAAGCTTGAAAAGGAGTTGAAAATATGGCAAAGGCAAAAGGGACACATAAAAAAATGGGGGTAGAATTTATACATATCCTCTTGGGTACACCTCATCCCATGGGAACCAAAGCCCGATCCTTTGCAGTAGCTCACTTTCCTCCTACAAATAAGAATCGAGTCTTCCAATTGTGATAGTTAGAGTGTAGTCTAGTGATCAACTTCCTTTCCCTTGGAGAAAAGTAATATCACCCTCGATTAGGAGTAGGGTTCTCAACTAATGTATAAGAAGCAAAAAAATCCTCACATGAGGGAGAGGGACCTTCATTGTGTACACGTCTCCACAATGAGAGGAACCCCAACATCACTCTCCAGCCATTAGGGGTCGTCCTGGCATGGATGACCAGTGTGCCAGATCCTGGCACACGGGTGTAGGCATCGGGAACCTTAGACCTACTTCTAGCACCTCCTCATAGATAGTAAGGTCCCTGGAGGATTCATCAAAGGCAGGCTCACCCATCTCAGCTCAATAGCACAACACCAAAGGTGAATACAAAAATTGGATATAATCTTAACAAGCTTAGCTTCAGTATTGATAGAGCTAGAAATAGAGCTCACCTTAGAACCATCTGCATCAATTGCCACCTTACCACGATACTTATGTTGATGTGGATATGGGGGAACACTACCACCATAACCTCTCATCGTTTGCCCAGCGTCTAGCTCCGTGTGCAGTTATGCTCTAGCACCCAGCTTGCTTGTCTACTTGTTGGCACCCGTGCTTGCCTCCACACCCACACCTACCTATGTGCCCATACCTATCACCACAGTGTCCTTTCCTCAGCTTGTGCCTATCACCATGCTCACGATGCCCCTACCCTGAGCTACGCTTGCATTCGCGCCTACGCCTCGACCAACAATTATCTCCACACTTGCACTTGTGCCTGCGCCCTTCCCTATGACTTCGGCACCCCTGTCTACTGTGCCACCTACCCCTCTTGGGGCCTCAGTGCCTTTTGGTGCCGCATTATCTAAAGCCTTCTCCTTGAGTCTCGATTCACTCAACATCTCACCTATCTCTTTCTAAGACTAATTTGGGAGAATTGATGTGAATGATGCTTATTTATAGCCCAACTTTTAGATTTGGCAAAGTCCAAATCAAGTTGAGAGTGTTAATGAGATTGGGATGAAGTCTCCTAATCAGGGTGGAAAGAGATATCTAAAACAGTTTGGAATGAGAAGTCCTAATCAAAGTGGATAGGGATTCTATATGAAGCCTTAGGGCAAGAGAAAAGCTCCCCAGAAGAAAGTCAAAACAATGAAAGTCTTCACCAATAGAGTGCCCACCAACCCAATTGAGTGAAAGGAATTCAAATCTCAAAGCAATAGTTGTCACAACAATGTTCATGGAAACCAAATAAGAGGCGTAAACATTATAAGAAGAAGGCTAGGATCACACACAAAATCATGCAAGGCCACTGAATACTATAAATAAGAGGCATTTCTCTCACAACAAGACACAAGCACCTATCCTAAGAAAATATCCTGTGTAATCTTCCCCCTTCACTTCATAAAATCGCCCTAGAAGCAAGAGACTCCCTTTAGAGTAGATTAGTTGAGCTCCCGAGCTGGTGAACCACTATAAATATTTTATGATTCCCTATCCCCCTTATTCAAATCTTAAGAGCCTAGAAGCTCTGAATAAGTTATTTAATGACCACTAATCCTTCAACACCGTAAGCTCTACTCAATTATGTTACGTACTCCATTAGTTGGCACCGTCTGTGGGAATAACTTTTTCTGTAAAATTTTTACTGATATCTTCAGTAATTGATGGTTTCTACGCACAATATAAGCAGAAATTAGATTAACCCTCTACATCTACAAAACCAAAAGAAAGTCACCACTAGAAGACAATAGGAGAACCCCCTGCCTAATCCTAAAGCTAATCCTCCAATGGAGAACACTCTTCCAAATAACAAATTCGAGGCCCTAACCAAGCCAACCAACGTCTCCTCTAGCAAAATGAGGAATTGATAAAACTTGATGATGCACAAATTGGATTTGCACACCACCTATCAAATAATCAATAATAAATGCAGTAATAAAGTGGAGAGAGATAATAAGATAAACGAGACAAGAATTTATAGTGGTTCAGTCACTGTGACCTACGTCCATTTTAAAGGACTAGGGTTGCCTGAGTATTTTATTACTTTAAGGTGTATAGTGAGAATAGGGAGATACAAGCTGTGAGTGATAGGAGAGAGTATTAGATGTGCTCGATTGAGTGCGATGATCCCCAAATGTTGGCGGGGTTTACAAATTATATGTGCCTCATAACAGATTGATGCGGCTTATTAGTAACTAAAATGCTAAGTTGGTGGAGCGGGTGCCATCTTCTCAACAAATGAGGCAGATACAGTGCTCCCCATAAGATCTGATCAAAGGATGGCGTGGTGGTTGACTTCTTCCAAGGCGGCATGGATGAGGTTCTTGGATGACCTTGTTGACTCCTTAGTGATGTAGCTCCTTGAACCCTGATGACTTTAACCTGGCATGGATCCCTTTGGGCTAGACTTACTGGATCTCTTTAATTTGGGCTCTTAATTTAAACTGGGCTCACAATCGTGGGTTGGGCCCTTGATCCTGACCCATCATTTGCCCCCCAATGCCCTATGTCCAATGAAACTTGGAGAGGAGGGCAATCATTTGAGTTTGGATTTTGGCTAAATGTAAAACTAGAAAAAATTTGGAAGCCCTAAATATATGAATTTCTTCTTGTAGGGCTCATTGAGAGTTTCGATTTGATATATTATGGACCCCGTTTGGAGAAACAGATCAAAAATTACGATCAAAATAGTGTCAACCCTTCTTTGACTTGAATTTTCTAGAGACTCCTTTTGACTGATGACTCTTCCCCTTCGTGATATATCTCACCTCTGTAGAATATTTCAAGACCTTCCCCATTTTTAGTTGGATTTTAAAAGAACCTTTGGTTTCAAATAGGGATTTTTCCCTTTTTAACCATTCCATTAGTTAATAGGATTTAAAAAACCCTAGGCTATAAATAGGGAGTTTCTTCTCCATTTCACTCATTTTGAGAAAGTGTTCCTACTTGAGATACTTGAGAACCAAAGGCCAGAGATTTTGTTTCTGAGATGAATTCTCAAAAATCAACATTGAGCGAAGGAGGAAAACCCATCAATATCCATGGTGATAACAGTGAGATAGGTGATGAGGGGCTTGCTGGTATCGATAGCCATGGCAAAGGAGAAGTTGACACTGGTTTGATTCATGTGGCGCGCCTAAGCTACGAGGAGGAGTGAAGGCTCCATGGGCGAGCCCCTAGGATTGTTGCTGATTATAGGGTGCCGTCAAGAGGGCGCCAAGGATGAGGCGTGGGTCAGGGAGGTAGAGACACCATTGGGCACCGTTGGCCAGGTGACCTAGGTGCTGGGCGAGCCTGTGGTTCTCGCAAAGGAGGCGTTGGGGCTGTCTGCTGTTCGTGCAAGGGGTTTCCCGAGGGAAACGCTAGAGCTGGGCGCTACTGGCAAAGCGACCAAGTTGCTGGGTGCCACTAGCTAGGCATCCTAGGCGTTGGGGGCCGAGGCCAGGGCGACCCACGTGCTAGAAGTTGTGGTCGGGGCCACCAAGGTGCTCGACAAGGAACTGCTGGCGGTGGGTGGGACGTAGCTGGTGATGGGAACTTTTGATGGGGACAATTCTAGTAATATGGCAGATGATCTGGCTCATTCAAGTAGAACTTCTCAAAGTCAAATTCCTCAAGACTTCCTTGGCTCGGGCAACGTTTCACGCCCTCATAACAAAAAGCACCAAGGGAAGGTAGCTCTTGACAACGATAGATCCAGAGTAAGTACCATTTCTAGTATGCTTAATACCAACGATGTTATTTTGCAGATTGTCTCTGCTTAACATTCTTCCAACAATATTGTGCCGTCGAGCTGAGATGGGTGAGCCTGCTTGTAATGACTCCTCTGGTGACATTACTATCTCTAAGGAGAGGCTTGAAGCTGGGCTTAGGCTTCCAATGCCTTCTTCTATTTGTTATATTTTGTATTGCTTTTCACTGGCACCAGGATGGTTGATGCCTAATGGTTAGAGAGTTTTGCTGAATTTTCTAGCTTTGTGGAGGAAGGTGCATCATGAGGATGCCTCTACTGTTAAGTTTTGTGCAGCCACTACTTGAGTGAGACTCCTGCTCCTAATCGAGGCTGGTACTACTTTACTACGAGGGGAGGTAAATTGATTACTGAATTGCGCTCCAATTGTCATAGTTGGAAGTCTCACTTCCTGTTCGTTGGCGGAGAGTGGGCTTCAGAGGCGGATAGAGCTTTGGTACCAATGAGATGGATGACTCCTCCTTCTAAGGTGGCAAGGATGAGCGACGCTTTGGGGGGCTCCTCTCAAGTGACCCCTCAAGTGGTGTCTCCTCGGTCGGTGACTCCTTCAGACGTGACTACTACTCTGGAGACTCTCCTGTTGACCACACCTATTGCCCCCCGTTCATCGACTCCTCCTATGGGAACTTCTACATGAGCACCCACTCAGATTGGCTCCATGTTGGGTGACTTGCGAGTCATCAAGGATCGACTTGTGAGGTTTGTGTTTTCAAAATATGTAAATGAGATTAGTGCTTGAGGCACTGAGGGTATTATTAACACTTTTTTGGAAGGTCTGGCTTAGGTAAGGGTCTACTGTCTCCCTTTCTCCAGTCCCTCCTTAGGCATTGACATTCTTTTTCCTTTTGCCTTTCTCAGGTTTCAACTGCATCTGTGCGTTTATTTTCAAGAGCTTTTTATTATAGCCAGTTGAAGCATAGTCATGAGGGTGCAAAAGGAACTTCTTACTACTCAGGGAGGGTTGTTAAGCTTGAAACGGATGGTCAGACTTTCCAGGATAAGCTTGTGGCAACCCATAAGAAGGCCATGCTTAGAGACGTTGTTTGCACGAGGGTTAAAGTAGAGCTTTTGGCGACTTGCGAGAGGGCGACTAAGCTTGAGGCTGAGATTTTGGTGACCCGTTAGAGGGATGTGCTCAAGGAGGTTGAGCTTTTGGCGACCTACGAGAGGGCTGTGCTTAGAGAAGTTGCCTGGTTGAGAGCGAAGGCAGAGGCAGATCTGTTATTGACTCGTGAAAGGGTCGTCAAGGCTGAGAGTGATTTGGAGAATGGCCTTGTAGATGCCTTCATTGATGGTTACAGGGAGCTTTGGGGAAAGATTTCTACTGCTTTCCCTGATATTGATCTTTCAAGCTTCGTGTCATATGAGACACTTGATGATAATGATGAAGGCTCTAATGATACTAATGCCGAGGGTGAGGAGAAGGAGGACGACCACGAGAGCAGTTAGAATGCTGGAGATTTTTTTTTAGAAAGGCAGTTTGTAGCGTTACTTTTGTAAAAATGGTTTTTTTCCACTGAAGTTCTTTTTGAAATAGAACGCAAGAATGCAAAGAAATTTTGAAGTCAATTTAGAAAATTTTATTCATTCAGTGACTGCTTATGCTAAGCAATAGTGAATAATAACCCAAAAAAGTACAAGAAGTAAAATCATGTTCCCCAACTTTACTACTACTCTCCTAGGGTGTCATTGGTAGTACCTCTTAAGATGCTTAGCATTCCACGGATGGGGTAAGACCTTCCCCTCAGAATTTTGGATCTTATAGGTGCCTTGCCTCACCATTTTTGTTATGAGGTAGTGTCCTTCCCAATTTGGTCCCAGCTTTTCCTTCTCGTTAATCCTTTGTGGCAAAGATGACTTTCTTGAGGACCAAGTCTCCTGGTTAGAGGGAACGAGGTTTCATCCTCGAGTTGTAGTATCTTGCCATGCGACGCTTGTACTCTGCATTGCGGACAACAGCCATCGTCCTTGCCTCTTCTACAAAGTCGAGGTTGATGCGGAGTCCTTCCTCGTTGGTGACGGGATTGTGGTGTTGGGACCTTAGAGAATGTACCCTGATCTCCACAGGTATGACTATCTCAGTTCCAAAGATGAGGAAAAATGGGGTTTCTCTAGTTGGGGTTATCGGCGTCGCTCGGTAGGCCCATGATACACCTGAGATTTCGTCAACCCAGAGACCCTTTGTTCTTTTGAGCCTTGTCTTTAAGTTGCGTAATATTGTTCTGACTATGATTTTTGCCTGTACGTTTACCTATGGGTGCACTGGACTAGAATGAGGCTGCTTTATCTAGAGGTCGGAGCAGAATAAGTTCAGGAGCTTGTTGTCGAATTGGTTGACATTGTCGCTTACCATGGCGTGGGATATTCTGAATTGGCAGACTAGGTTCTTCCCGATGAAATCCTTGACCTTTGTGTCTGTTATCTTCGGTAAGGGCTCGGCCTCCATCTATTTAGTGAAGTAGTCAATGACTACCACCATGAACTTGCACTACCCTTTACTCAGAGTCAGGGGGCCCAAGGTGTCCATTTGGAAAAAGGGCTATGGACTTGTGATGGTTGTCAACTCTTCTGGTGGCTGTCTGGGCACTTTTCACATTTTCTGGTGTACTCATGGGCATCTTTGACTATGATAGGCTACAAGTAGCCCTACCTGAGTGCCTTGTGGGATAGGGAGCGACCTTTGGAGTGGTTTTTGTAAACTCCTTCATGGATTTCTTGTAAGGTGTAATCAGCTTCTCCTGGGGAGAGGCATTATAATAGTGGCAAGGAATAACCTTTCTTGTACAAGACGCCCTGTAAGATGGTAATTTTGGAGGCTCTTATCCTGAGTTTCTTGGCTTCCAGCGCGTCATCTAGCAACATGCCCTCCTGGATGTATGCCCTTATTAGGGTCATCTAGTTTGATTCGACAGATGCACAGTTGACGTTTGTGGCTTCCACGTTTAGCTTGCTTGGTTTGAATTGGTGACTGATGAATGCTAGTCCTGGCAAGGCTTCCGAGGATGAGGCGAGCCTAACCAATGCATCTGTAGCCATATTGTCTTCTCTAGGGATGTGACAGATCTGGAAGTGGTGGAACTTAGTAAGCATGGCTCGCACCATAGCAAGGTACTCCTACATTCTGGCTCCTTTTGCTGCAAACTCACCCTTCAATTAGTTGACTATCAATTGAGAATCACTATAAGTGATGAGGTGTTGGGCTTCCATTTCGATAGCCAACCTTAGGTAAGAGAGGAGGGCTTCATATTCTACCTCATTGTTGGAGGCGGTGAAGTGGAGCTTTACAGTATACTTGATGGGAATGTCGTCGGGGCTGACCAAGATTAGGCCGACTCCACCTCTTTCGTTGGTCGAGAAGCCATTCACGTAAAGCTCCTAGGGAGGTGGTAGAGAAGAGACCTTGGAGGCCGTTGTGGGCATCTAGGCTCCTAGCCTGGGTGCCAAGTTGTTTTGCATGTTTGGGCTCGGCGCTTGAGTGTTTGGGTAAGTTTGTGATGAGGCTTCCTGAAGTGTTGAGGGCCTACTGCTCTCCTTCTATACCGGTGTGAGCTCTACAATAAAGTCTATCAAGACTTGTGCTTTGATGGTTGCCCTCGGTTGGTACTGGTTATCAAACTCGCCCAGCTCTACTACTTACTTGAGGAGTCTCCCAAAGACGTTTGATGCTGGGCCATGATAACGACAATGGTGTGACTCTGAAAATAATGTTGGAGATGCCTTGCTGTTGAGATTAGGGCGAGCGCCAACTTTTCTAGCCCTAAATAGCTTATTTCTACTTCTCGGTATACCTTGCTCACGTAATAGATAGGATTTTGCACTCCATCGTTGTTTTTGATGAAGACAGAGCTTACTACTGATAGGGAAGCAGAAAGGTACAAATATAGAGTTTCACCTGGTGTAGCATGTGAAAGGAGGGGAGGCGTAGCCAAGTAAGCTTTGAGTTTTTGAAAAGCTCCCTCTACCTCAGGTCCCCACTCAAAGGCTTTTCGGAGAATCTTGAAAAAGGGTAAGTATTTATCTACAGACTTGGAAACAAACCTGTTGAGTACTGCAATTCTTCCGTTGAGGCGCTAGAGCTCCTTGGCTGAGGGGGTGATTTCATGTCCAAGATGGCTTTAATATTTTAGGGGTTCGCCTCGAGTCCCCTCTGGTTGACCATGAAGCCTAAGAACTTTCCTGACCTGACGCCAAAAACACACTTCTCAGGGTTCAGCTTCATGTGGTACGACCTGAGAACATCGAAGGTTTGTTGAAGGTGGTCTACGTGGTTTACTACGACGAGGCTTTTTACCAGCATATCGTTATCGTATACCTCCATTGTTCTTCTGATATGAGATTGGAACATCTTGTTCACTAGCCGTTGGTAAGTTGCTCCTGCATTTTTTAGTCCTAAAGGCATAATCCTGTGATAGTAGGTTACTTTCGGAGTGATGAATGACGTCTTCTCCTAGTATGGGGGGTGCATGCTGATCTACTTATATCCACAGTATGCATCTAGGAAGGTGAACAATTCATGTCTTGCAGTGGCGTTGATGAGGAGGTCGATTTGTGGCAACGGGTAGCTGCCTTTAGGGCACGCCTTGTTGAGTTTGGTAAAGTCGATGTAGAGGCACCACTTCCCATTAGCTTTGGTCACCATCACTACATTTGATAGCCACACAGGAT